TCGTCTGGCACTCCCCAGTGAGATGAACCCAGTACCTCAGTTGAAAATGCAGAAATCACCGGTCTTCTGTGTCGCTCGCGCTGGGAGTTGGAGACTGGAGCTGTTCCTATTCAGCCATCTTGCTCCGCCCCCCGTGTATTTTAGTTTTATATTCTTTTTAGTCTTTTGCTGTATTGGCTTTATTGATTTTTTTTAGTGACTTTCACAAAAGTCACTAATAGACTTTTGTGAGCAATTTTAGTTTACAAAAAAATGAGCAAAAATTATAGACTTACTATATACCCCTCATTCCCCACCCCAAACAAATTTTTTTTCTTATTCCTGGCAAGCTGTGATATTTTTAACATCTTGCATTAATGTGTTTTATTTATTACAACTGATGAGCCAATATTGACACATTACTGTTAACTTAAAGTTTATAGTTTACATTAGGGTTCACTCTTTGGTACATTCTACAAGTTTTGACAAATGTATAATGACATGGATTCACATTACACTATTATTCCTATGATACTATACAATCCTCTGTGCTTCACCTGTTTATCCTGTCTCCTTTCCACCCCACAATCCCTGACAGCCACTGATCTTTTTATTGTCTCCATAGTTTTGCCTTTTCCAGAATGTCATCTAGTTATATAGTATGAAGTCTTTAGATTGGCCCCTTTTGCTTAGCGGTATGTGCCCAGTGGCTCACACCTGTAATCCCAGCACTTTGAGAGGCTGAGGTAGGTGGATCTCTTGAGGCCAGGAGTTTGAGACGAGCGTGACCAACGTGGCGAAACCCCGCCCCTACTAAAAATACAAATAAATTAGCCAGATGTGGTTGTGTGCACGCCTGTCATTCCAGCTACCTGTGTGGCTGAGACATGAGAATCACTTGAACTCAGGTGGTAGAGGTTGCGGTGAACCAAGATTGCACCACTACACTCCAGCCTTGGTGACAGAGTGAGATTCTGTCTCAAAAAAAACAAAAAAACAAAAACAAAAACAAGTTCCTTAAAGGCAGAGACAGTGTCTTCTATTCTTTAAATCATTTTTATATATTATAGGAATAATGGAAAACCAGTATTTGATATGTATATATGGAAATTTAATAAATGATAAAGATGGTATTTCTAATCAACATAAAAAGATAACCTATTTAATACATGCTTTTGAGACAAATCAGTCACAATTTGGAAAAAATAATCATTTCAATTTCTGAAACCATTCAACAAAACAGTACCAGATTGATTAAAGACCTAAATAAAAAAATTTTAAAGGAGGCAGCCTGCCATAACAATTAATATCCAGAATTTATAAAGAATGTGTATAAATTAATAAGAAAAAGACAAAAGTCCAAGAGAAAAATGGAGAAAGGCAATGAATAGGCTATTCATGAAGGAAGAAACCCAGATAGTTAGTAAATACAACAGTGTGATACTTTAGGAGTTATAGGGCGTCAATAAAATGACAGACGAAGAAGTCAGATTCCTAAGTGTTTCATAGACTAACTTAGTGGAGAACTAGGGTCCTGTGAATGTCACTGCTAGTCAGATACTTACTCCTCCTCAAAGAAGAGTGAGTAAGAGGCAGGGCAAGAGTCATTGTCCACATCAATGGAAAAGATATATTTTCCACTGATTGTTTTTCCATAAAATAACATGAAATAATATATGTTATAACATGAAATGTTATATTCCAAAAATAACATGAAATGATATATGATATATGAAGAGAAATGATATATCAAATGTCTGTGAGGGATTGGGACTACGGTGCTTTGATGGACTGCAAATACATACATGAAATGGTAGAGCCAGTTTAGAGATCCATTTGACAGTTTCGTTAAAGTTTTAAATGTGTACATCCTATAATATACCTCTTTTACTTTTGGTATCTACTCTCCAGATCATTCATACATGAGCACAAAGAAGCAAATGCAGGAATATTCATTCCAGGAGAGTCACAACAAATAATTTGAAACAGTCTAAATAGCATTAATAAGGAGGTAGCTAAAAATACTGCTGTGTTTCTGTATACAGCCATCCTTTAGTATATTTGAGGGATTGGTTCCAGTATCCTTCATATACCAAAATCTACACATACTCAACTCCCACAGTCGGCTCTGTGGAACCCATATATGAAAAGCCAGCCCTCTGTATACACGGGTTTGCATCCCATGCATACTGTATTTTCAATCCACATTTGGTTGAAAAAAAATTGCATCTAAGTAGATGCATGAAGTTCAGACCCATGTTGTTCAAGGGTCAACTCTAAAGTGTTATGGAATATAACAGCACCTAAAAGATAAAAGAATAAATGGGACTCTTTATTAATATGGAAATATGTTTAAAGCATTGATTAATGGAATAAAATAATATTGAATGAAAAAAGCATCTCCATGTATTAGATTAGCATGTAAATTTAAAGAAAAAAACTGGCAAGGTGTGCACCAAACTAATAATAGGAGAGGCAACTGGAATTCGAGTAGTTAGGAGTCCTAAAAGGAACTTTACTTTTTTATTGGAATAAAATTCATATAACATAAAATTCACCATTTAAAATTGTACAAGCCGATGACATTTAGACATTCACAGTGGTGTACAACCATCACCACTAAACAGTTCCAGAACATTTTCATCACCCACCTCTCTATCCGTTAAACAATCATCCCCCATTTTTTTCCTCCCCACCAACCTCTGGCAGCCATTAATCTGCTTTCTGTCCTGTGAATTTAGCTCTTCTGGATATTTCTTACAGAATCATATAGTATGTAGCCTTTGTTTCTGGCTTCTTTTACTTAACATACTGTTTTTAGTTTTTCATCCATGTTGTAGGATATGCCAGTTTTTCATTTCTGTTTATGGCTGAATAATACTCCATTTTATCTATATAGACATATATACACACACACCATATATTTTTATAATTCATCAGTTGATGGGCACGTAGGTTGTTTCCGCCTTCTGGCTGTTGGAAGAGTGCTGCAGAGAACATTGACATACGGTATATGTTTGAGTCATTGCTTCCAGTTCCTTTGGTTATATACCTTAGAGTGGAATTGTGGCATCATATGGTAATTCAGTTTACCTTTTTGAGGAACCAAGGGACATTATATTCTGAATGAAAAAAATATGTTGCTTGACTGGGAAAAGTGACTTATGCCTGTAATCCCAGCACTTTGGGAAGCCAAGGTGGGAAAGTTGTTTGAGGCCAGGAGTTTGATACCAGCCTGGGCAACATAGCAAGACCCCACCTCTATGGGAGAAAAAAAAAATAGCCAGGCATGGTTGCATGTGCCAGTAATCCCAGCTACTTGGGAGACTGAGGTGGAAGGATCACTTGAGCCCCGGAGATTAAGGCTGCAGTGAGTGCCATGATTATGCCACTGCACTCCAGCCTGGGCAGCAGAGCAAGACCCTGTCTCTTAAAATAAATATATATATAAGCTTTAAAAATAAAAAACAGAGGCTGGACATAGTGGCTTATCCCTGTAATCCCAGCACTTTGGGAAGCCAAGGCGGGTGCATCACCTGAGGTCAGGAGTTCGAGACCAACCTGACCAACATGGCAAACCCCGTCTCTACTGAAAAATACAAAAATTAGCCGGGTGCAGTGGCATCTGCCTGTCACGCTAGCTACTCGGGAGGCTAAGTCATGAGAATCACTTGAACCTGGGAGGAGAAGACTGCAGTGAGCCAAGATTGTGCCACTGCACTCTAACCTGAATGACAGTGAGACTCTCTCAAAAAATAAATAAGTAAAAATAAAAACAGAAAATGGCTGAAAATCTGAAAGTGAAAAAGTAGAAAATTATTTAAAATTTGAAACAGGACGGGCACAGTGGCTCACGCCTGTAATCCCAGCACTTTGGGAGGCTGAGGTGGGCAGATCATGAGGTCAGGAGATTGAGACCATCCTGGCTAACATGATGAAACCCTGTCTCTACTAAAAATACCAAAAATTAGCTGGGCATGGTGGCCGGCACCTGTAGTCCCAGCTACTTGGGAGGCTGAGGCAGGAGAATGGCGTGAACCGAGGAGGTGGAGGTTGCAGTGAGCTGAGATAGTGCCACTGCACTCCAGCCTGGGCAACAGAGCAAGACTCTGTCTCAAATAAATAAATTAATTGAAAAAATAAAATAAAATTTGAAACAAATTTAAAAGTATTTAGAAAATAAAAACTTACCTATAAGCTAACTCCCAGAGATAAATTATTGGTACTTTTGGAATATATCCCTCCAGTCCTTAAATTTTTGTTAAAAAAAAAATGCATGAATTTAATTCCCAAGCATACAGAGATAAAAATTGTGAGTTCTTTTTTATTTTTTTTCCTCAATTTTAATCCCCTCCCTTTGAGGTTTAAAATATTTTTGTGAATATTATTCTATTTTTCTGTGCTGCAAACCATTTTTTCAAAACCTAACACCATTTAATACAAATTGGTCTGCGAATCACTTTGTTTACTTAACAGTATATCTTGCCTGTTCTAATCAGTTTATATAGATCTCTGCTTCATTTTTTAACAGCTGCATGATATTCCATGGTATTAATATATTGTAGTTGTTTTATAGTCTCCACTCTTAAGGGGCATTCCCATTCTTTAAAGTAGTGGTTCTCAGATATTAGCATGTATTAGAATGACTTTGGGACTTTTCACAACTAATTGCTGGGCCTTATCCCCCCTTGATTCACAGGTCAAGGGTGAGCCTGAGAATTTGTATTTCTAACCAGTTTCTTTACTATGCCGTTGTCTGGGGACTCTACTTTGAGAACCATTGTTATAAAACGTGGTGAGCCTGGTTGCTGTGAATTATTACTGTTTGGCGAGGATTTGAACAGGGTGAAAAATACAGTGTACTTATGTGAGAAAATATATATGAAAGTGAGAAAAATACTTGGAAGAGGGATCAAAGAATGCTAGTGAACTTGTGTTCCGTTTTCTGTATTTTAGAGCACTTTTGTTTCTGGTAAACTGCGTGTGTGTGTGTGTTTAATTAGTGTACCTATCTGTGGCAGGTTGGAAGATAGGATCACCATTCAAGAAAATGAAGTTTCTGAGAATGGAGTCTCGAGTACTGTGGACCAACTTAGTGACATTCATGTCGGTAAGCATCATTGCATTAGTCTAATTACTTTCTGGAAGATTATCAGTGATTATTAACATCAACCTGTTTTATTTGGTTAATATGTAAATAAGAAAGCATTCCTTATCAGTCATCTCAGTCATTTTAAAAATATAGGCATAGCACAGTGGACTACATTAATAAGCCTGGATTGTATGGCAACATGGCAGTGAATGTTTTTGGTCAGTTATTTTTATTGGATATTCAAAATGAAAAGAATTACTTGCCAAAGCTAAGCCAGGGTACTAAGGACATTAAATAAATTGTCTTCTTTTTTAAATAGTATTAGTTAAAATATAAGAAAGGTAGGCTGGGTGCAATGGCTTACACCTGTAATCCCAGTGCTTTGGGAGGCGGAGGTGGGAGGCCAGAAGTTTGAGACCAGCCTGGACAACATAGCGCTACTCCATCCTACAAAAAAATTTTAAAATTAGCCAGGCATGGTGGCGTGCCTATAGTCCCATCCACTCAGGAGACTGAGGTGAGAGGATGGTTTGAGGCCAGGAGTTCAAGGCTGCAGTGCAGTAGCACTGCACTCCAGCCTGGGCAATAGACCAAGACCCTGTTTCTTAAAACGAAAAGAAAAAATAATTTTTTTCATCTAACCTATAGGAACAAAGATAAACGAACTAAGTATGTATCTAAATAGTGTATTTTTTCACATTTCTTTGGATTTGTTTCTTTTTTTTTTTTTCATTTTGTTTTTCTTGAGAGACAGGGTCTCACTCTGTTGCCCAGGCTGGAGTGCAGTGGCTCGATTATATCTTACTGCAGCTTTGAATTCCTGGGCTCAAAAAACCCTCACCTCATCCTCCAGAGTAGCTGGGACTACAGTCATACGCTGCTACACCCAGCTAATTTTATTTTTTGTGGAGACATAGTCTCACTTAGTTGCTCAGGCTGGTTTCAAACTCCTGGCCTCAAGCAGTCCTCCACCTTGGCTAATGTTATTTTATTTTTTGTGGAGACAGAGTCTCACTTAGTTGCTCAGGCTGGTTTCAAACTCCTGGCCTCAAGCAACCCTCCCACCTTGGCGTCCCGAGGGGCTGGGATTAAAGGCATTAGCCACCATTCCTAGCCTTGTGTCTGTATTGTAGAACTTTCAATATAATGAAAGTACATAACAAATTAAATCAACTCTCTGAAGATAAAACATTGCATCCTGTTAAAGATTATTCAGAAGGTAATATATTGACACACATATTTTGATTTTATTTTCCTGATATGTGGGTTTTTTGCTAGAATTTGTGTTACATACTGTGCTTTATCAACATCATTTAGAACTTTAAGTACTGTATAGACTTACCACATAATCTCTCCTTTCTACCACAGAGACTGGAGTCAATGATTCTCAGCACTCTAAATGTGATGTAGATAAGTCTGTGCAACCAGAGCCATTTTTCCATAAAGTGGTTCATTCTGAACACTTGAACTTAGTCCCTCAAGTTCAATCAGTTCAGTGTTCACCAGAAGAATCCTTTGCATTTCGATCTCACTCGCATTTACCACCAAAAAATAAAAACAAGAATTCCTTGCTGATTGGACTTTCAACTGGTCTGTTTGATGCAAACAACCCAAAGGCAAGTATTGTCCTCAAATGGGAACTATTATCCATTCGATAACATGTATTACTGTTTTTCTTTTATAAACCGTAATATTGAGTTTTAATCTCTTAACACAGACACAAACACACATCCAACAAAAACCTCCATCTTCTGAGTAAAGGAATTGCAATTGGGAGTACAACTTGGATAAAGACTATTTCATTGGCTTCCTGTTAAGGATTTTTTTTATAGCGTCTTTTACTTGAGCAAAAAGTCCCTTTATATACCCTCATGCACTATTGCTCTTTCCCACTATCCAACCTGACTTCCGTTTTTAGTATCACACTAAGCTTAAGCAATATATCTAAAAAAGACAGAGGTAGAGGTGCTGTATTGCCTAATTCATATGTAAAAACATTAATAGATATTCATATGCACTTTCTCATAGAAGTTTTTCAGACCTCTTTTTCTCACTTGCTATTTTTGAATATACGTAACCAATTTTTTCTTGTAAAAAATATCTCTACAGAAAATGTTGAAATGCAGGTAAAAATAAGAAATATCATTTGTTATATTACTTCTCATGTAATTTTTGCATATACATAACTTTTTACCAAAATAAGATGTTATGTATACTCTTTATAACCTTTTCTATTCAATATATATTATGACGTTATTGCAAATGCCATTATTACAATACTGTGATGAAAACAGCCCTTTGTCATTGTCACATATTCTCTTTATATCATCATTAACTGAGCTTCTTATCATAATCTTTTTACAAATCTGTTTCTATTTTCGTACCTTTCCGCTTTAATTTTTGTTGTAATCACTTACACCTCTTATCTTTGTACATATCTACAATTATTTCCATAAAATAAATTTCTGTAAGTGGAATTGAAAAGGTTATAATGTATACTGCCTCATTTCTAAATAGTTTATAGTTCTGTCAATAGTATGTGAAAGCACATCCATTTCTCTGAATGTTAAATACCACCCACTATTATCATTTACTTAAAAATTATCTATTTAACAAATGAGTAATAGTATTGATTTGTATACATTTATGTTTCTGTGTTTTACAAGTGAGTTTGGGCCTTTTTTATTTATTTTAGCCAGTAAAGGAATGAATTGCCTGAATTCTTTAGTGCTTAACTATTTTTTAAATATGTCATTTTGGCCAGGCATACTGGCTCATACCTACAATCCCAGCAGTTTGGGAAGCTAGGGTGGGAGGATCTCTTGAGCTCAGGAGCTCAAGACCAGCCTGGCCAACATGGCGAAACCCCATCTCTACTAAAACTACAAAAATTAGCTGGGTGTGGTGGTATGGACCTGTAATCCCAGCTACTTGGAGTCTGAGGCAAGAGAATCACTTGAACCCGGGAGGTGAAGGTTGCAGTGAGCCGAGATTGCGACATTGCACTCCAGCCTGGGTGACAGAGTGAGTCTCTGCCTCAAATAAATAATAAATAGTCATTTTGATTTTCAGTTTAATTTTCCAACTGGGTATGCTTCGGTTTTGTGGAGTATTTCCGTATGCTTAGCTTAAATTTAGAGATTAAGTTTCCTCATTTATCTAATATCAGTCAGTCTTTTGAAAGGTGTGAACTACCAAAACACACTTAATGATCTTCAGAGTTAGAGAGAAAGGCCTATAGATAAGGACTATCATACAATTCATGTACTTTTGTAGTAAAAGTGTATAGCCCATCTTTAGCTCAGAGCTTCTTAATACCTTGTTGCCGTCTATAAAGTTAATATTCTTTGCATAATAGATTTGATTGTTTGATTTCCTTTTATGACCTTAGTCCAGCCTTCAGAGTTCTGTAGAAGAACTTACTCTGGAAGTAACCACAGCAAAGTAGAAGCAGCAATGCAGATTTCATGTAGAGGACTATTTGGAAAGAGGCAAGAAAAAACACTAGAAAATCAAAGCAGTCTGTAGCCATTTAGGAAAAGAACACACACCATCTCTGCCCATTCTGTAAATATTTATATAATCTGTTTACTAAGGTGGGATAATTTAACCTTTTATAAGCATGTTTAAAGCTCTTTTTTGCAAATGTTAAATTACTGGTGGGATTATTTTCTTGATTGAGGAAATTCCCCTTGTGCTTTGGATCCCACCTCCTCACTCTTCAAGGAACTGACTCCATTAATTTTGCCACTCTAACCTGTGTCATCAACTTTTCCTATCGTGGATCATTTACTCAACATACACGTTCTAATAAATCTCATCAAAAATAGCAAACTTCTTTTGAGCACAATATCCTTGTTTAGCTACCACCCCATTTCTCTATCCCTTTTGCAACCAAGCATCTTGACTATGTTGCAGTCTCATTGCAGTTTCCACATGCATTCACTTCCCAATACATTCCAATATGGCTTTTAGCCTGCTCGTCCACTAAAGCAGCTCTGTTCAGATCATCAGTTACCAGTATGTTGAAAATTCTCTGCACCATTTTCTCTTTCACTTTTCTTAGCTTTTCTTCTTTCAACAGAGTTCATATATGCTGTACTATTAAATTCACTTTATCTGTTGATTCCCTTTATATTATACTTTCCTGGTTTTTCTCTGAACTCAGAGTCACTCTTCTGTGTCCACTGCTGGTTGATCCTACTCTAACAAATTTCTTAAGAATAATGTGTGTTTTTCTACTGTGAAATATACTATAAATGTCAATTAAGTCAAATTGGTTGATATTGTTGTTCAAGTCTTCTACATCTTTACTGATTTTTTAATCTATTTGAACTGTAAATTGCTGAGGGAAGATTGAAATTCTTAACTACACTTGTGTAGTAGTCAATTTTCACACTGCTATCAAGAACTACCTGAGAATGAGTAATTTATGAAGAAAAGATATTTAATCGACTTACAGTTCCACATGACTGGGGAGCTTCAGGAAACTTAATCATGTCAGAAGGCAAAGGGGAAGCAAGGCATATCTTACATGGCAGCAGGAGACAGAGAGAGAGCGCTCATGGGCACGAAGGGGGAAGTGCCACACACTTTTAAATTGTCAGATCTCATGAGAACTCACTCACCATCACAAGAATAGCATGGGGGAAATCCACCCCTATGATCCAGTCACCTCCCACCAGGTCCCTTCACTGACCCATGGGGATTACAGTTGCAGATGAGATTTGAGTGGGGACATAGCCATACCATATCAACTTGTATAGGTAACTATTTCTTCTTTCAGTTATGTCAGTTTTTATTTTATGTATTTTGAATTTCTGGTTTGGGACAAATAAAAATTTAGTATTCTTATGTCTCCTGAATGAATTGGTATGTTTATGTTTATGAAGTATTCTTTTTGTTTGATCATGTTGTTCAATATCCTTACTGATTTTCTTTCTACTTATCGATTACTGAAAGGGAGTGTTGAAACTTCCACTCAGTTGCGTTTAAACTAAGAATCAATGTGTCTTCTTAATGGATCAACCCCTTTGTCACCATGAAATGAATCCTTTTATCACTGGTCATATCACCTTGTCTGAAACATTTTCTCTGGTTTTATTATAGCCATTCCAGCTTTCTTATGCTTAATCTTTATATGGTATATATACATTCTTTACTACTCTTAACCAAACATGTTATATTTAAAGTGGATTTCTTGCAGTTAGCATGTTAGTCGAGTCTTGTTTTTAACAAGTCTAACAATCTCTTTTAATTGATTAGACAATTTACATTTAATGTAATTATTAATATCACAACCATATGATTGGGTTTAAACCTACCATTTTGCTATTTATTTTCTATTTGTCTGATCACTTTTTTGTTCCCTTTTTACTTTTATTCTTCCTTCCTTTGGATTGAGTATTTTTAGCACCTTATTTTATCTCTACTGTTTGTTTTCAAGATACATCTTTAGCTTAGCATAATCTCCCTTCAAATAATATTATACCACTTCACATATGTCATAAAAGCCTTACAACCATAGGCAATCATGCACCACATAATGACATTTCAGTGAATTACAGACCCCATATACAGCAATGGTCCCATAAGATTATAATAGAGCTGAAAAATTCTTCTCACCACCTAATGACATCATAGTGTCACAGTGTAATGCGTTACTCACATGTTTGTGGTGATGCTGATGTAAACAAACCTACCACACTGCTATAAAAGTTTAGTCCTATAAAAGTTTAGGACATACAATTATGTACAGTACCTAATGCTTGACAACAATAATAAATGACTGCATGCATGGTTTATGTATTTTTAATGCTTTACTTTTTATCATTATTTTGGAGTGTTCTACTTATTAAAAGAAAGTGAACTGTACAACAGCCTCAGGCAGGTCCTTCAGGAGGTATTTCAGTGTATACCTTCAGGAGGTGTTTCAGTGTATAGTGTATAGTTGTCACAGGAGATGACAGCTCCATTCATGTTATTGCCCTTGAAGACTTTCTAGATTGGAGGTGGAAGACAGTGATATTGATGATCCTGACCCTCTGTAGGCATAGGCTAATGTGTGTGCTTGTGTCTTCAAGTTTATAAAGTGAAGAGATTACAGTAAGCTAAGGTTAATTTATTGAAGACAGAAAATTTTTAAATACATTTAGTGTAGTCTGTGTATACAATGTTTATAAAGTCCACAGTAGTCTACACTAATGTCCCAGGCCTTCACATTTCACTCACCACTCACTCACTCACTTACCCAGGGCAACTTCCAGTTCCACAAGCTCCATTCACGGTAAGTACCTATACAGGTGCACCATTTTAATCTTTTATATGGTATTTTGACTATACCTTAGTGTTTAGATAGACAGATATTTACCATTGTATTACAATCTTCTATAATACTGAGTGTAGTAACATGCTATACAAGTTCGTAGCCTAGGAACAATAGGCTGTACCACATATCCTAGATATGTAGTAGGCTAATACCATCTAGGTTTGTGTAATTACACTCTGTGATGTTCACACAATGACGAAGTTGCCTAACAGCACTTTTCTCGGAGTGTATCTTTGTTAAGCAAAGCATGACTGTACTTCTATTCCCGTCCTGCCTGTCCTTCGTGGT